CGCAAAGAAAGAAGGCATAACTTTATTGTTGCTGCCACCGCCATGTTGTGAAGACGCAGTGTTTCATTGCGAATGCGAACCTACCTTGTTTGGCCTTCCAAAAGAGGACGCAACTAGAAATCAGTGGTTAATTAAAGTGAAAATGGAAAATACCAAAATAAAAAGTAGTTCAAAATATGAATAAAAACTATAATATTATCTCAGTGATACTAAAATAATACTTGTATGACTGCATGTAGTTTGAATGAAATCCCAGGTGGACTATCAGGACAGGACTATCTGTTTGGCTGACCAATGACAGACTGGGTACAGGAAACCGATTTAAAAATAGTCATTTATTAAAATATTTAAAAAGATTAATATGTCATGCTTTCCTGTTATGTTATTGGAGTATGCCGTTTTTGAGTGAGAATTTTTAAATTTTTAATACAATTAATCTTTTTTTTGTGTGTGTGTTAGGGAAGTTTTTGATTTTGAATACAGCCAATGTCTTAACCAGTTTTATCAATTTGGGGTAGGGCTATCAATTTTTCTGACCAGTGACAGACTGGGTATGGAAACCTGTTTGAAAACAGTCACTTGTGCATTTTCATGTAACGTTAGTGATGCAGAAATACACACTTCACCTTTAAACTTCTCCTGATCGAATTTGTTCCCACTTCCTTTACGCAACAAACCGTTTCAGCTGATAAAACCAAACACAAGCACGGGAAAACCAAATAAATGGAAGCCAAGAAGAGAAAAGCTTGGTTTGGTGTGCATCTGGCTTGTTCGGATGCCTTTCGGGACTGCGCGTGCACACACACACACACCTGGCCCGTTCGAATACCTTTCTCTGCTTTACGGCCCAACATTAGGCCGACATAATGAAGCAGACGCTCTTCGAAAGAAACGGCGGGTTTGATTTTTCATTTATGCTCAATGGATTCCTGCCTTGTCTTTTTAGAGAGCCGCCTATACCTTCACTCAGGATGACACGCGTGCGCGCACATTTTAATGAGCGAAGAGAGTGCTTCCCGCCTCACTATTTACAGATGAGGAACAGGAAGTAAGGCGCTTTTTATAGCCAATCATTTATTCTTAATTGGTTGCTGTGGCAAAGGCTTTTAGCATAAGCCGCGCTATATTCATTTACTCCACATTTTCTCTATAATAGAGCCTAATGGACAGATTTAAGACTTTAAATGAGCACTCTCAAAACCTTGCCCCCTAAACGAGAGAGCGTGTGTGTGTGTGTGTTTGGACGTATCACTGTGCACTCTCACATTCACGCCGTTTGAAAGCCAAGCTGAAGTGGGCCGCAGTTTGTGCCTTTCAGAAAGAAAAGCACCCAGTCCGTCTGTGTTTTTTAAGTGCAACACAACATTTTCATTTAGTCCAGTTTGGACGCATTAAGCTGTATTGTCTGCGCGTTTCCCTGAAGAAGCTTGTTAAGGAGCAGCGGCGTGCTGCTTTTATATGCTTGTTACCATTCGACGAGGCTTATTCACGCCGTCTCCGGCAAATGTCCTGCACGGCCACCGCGTTTCTCCGCTCGTTTTAGTCTTAATCAAGTCTAGTGGTCCAACGCAGCTCACAAATAACACATGCTCTTACCGAAGGCCGAGATTGTTTTGACCCCCAGTATCTTTCGTTCTGTGCTCGTCAGATGTTAAATATGAAAGAATGCACACGTATACATGCAAGGTTTGTCATGCTACGATTCGTAGGTACACTTTCATTTTTAAGCGTTATGCAGAACAGATGTTTCTGGTGTTTCCTTTAGTTTGAGTACATCGATTCAAGTTTTAAGGTTTTAAAAGGGATAGTTCATTCAGAAATGAACATTCAGTCATTGTTTACTCACTCTTATGTTGTTTTAAACTCAAAGGATTTTTCCCCCCAGTGGAGCACATAAGATATTTTGAAAAATCTTCTGAAGACATACAGAAATTTTGGTATATTGATTACACAAAACTAAAGTGGCAAATCTCCCTCCTTTGTGCCTCTCAAATCTTTTTACTTAAATATAGCGCTTCTTTTTTTTTTTTTGTAGTTTTGTGAACTTTTTTTGTCATTATTTTTTAGCATGACAGTCCATATATACATTGTCATTCAAAAGATTTGGGCTCAGTAGAAATGAATACATTTATTCAATAAGGATGCATTACATTGATCAAAAGTGACATTAAAGACATTTATAATGTTACAAAATATTTCAAATGCTGTTCTTTTGAACTTTGTTTTCATCAAATAATTCTGAAATTTAAAAAAAACCAACACATTTTCACAAACATTAAGCAGCTTTTTAAAACATTGATAATAGAAGTTTCTAGAGCAGCAAATCAGCATATTAGAATGATTTCTGAAGAATCGTGTGACTGGAGTAAATACTGTAAATAATATGCACTATAAGTAATATCATGTTTTTGCTGAGCATAAGACTTTTGAAAACATTAAAACATCTTACAGACCCCACACTTTTGAACATTTTTCATCTTTCAAATTCATAAACAAGCACCTGCTGCTATATACAACAGATACTGTATATGCTCAAAACTTACCAATGGCTCTTCTAAGTTTGAATCCAACTTGAGCTCCCCGATGGGGTCGGTGTTGCTAAAAAAAAAGTCTCCCTAGAAGGTGCCTAAATCTAACACAACCTACTTTTTGGAATGTCATCAAAAAGACAAATTGTTCCTAAGTAAAGTAAATTTTTAAATTTTTTTTTATTCCTAAAAAGCAAAGTTTTATAGGGTATAATTAGGCATTTGGGATGCATGTACTTGTATGAATCCTTCGAACATTTATAAAGAGATATTTTGCGGAGAAATTACCATAGGACATCTTCTGACTTTGTAAAGGACTGTAGCAGCCAAAACTTTCATACGCGCACAAACACACACACTCAGCCTTCCTGCTGACACACAGACAAACTTATTTGTCTCGGTCTCATATATGCACACAAACACCGTGACGTTTGGTCTGGACTTTGGGGCAGTCTGATGCAGGCTAATTTAATTATAAAATATGAGCGAATATGAAAGCACCTTGAGAAGCATTAAAATCTTCCTCACAAGGGCACACGGGCTGAGTGGAAATCAATGCCCGCAGGTCTGTGGAAAAGGCCTATATTTCATTTAGAATACGCAATCGGGCAAATGAGAGCATGTCATCAATCACACGGCTGTTTCTTAACAGACGTCCCGAAAAAACTCTCCTTTATCCTTCCTCTACAAACCCTGAGACACTTGTACACTCATAAACAAATGACTGAGATGTGACTTTTATTCAGTTTTAAATCTTTTTGTAAGGCCGTTTAGATGTTAACCGACTCATGTAGTCTTGAACCGGAAATAACAAATCAATATAATTAGATACACATTTCATTTGAGTGGCCTCTCAGTGTTAGACTGTGAAATACAGATTCTCTATGTCCCACAGTCCCAGCTGGTGTCCTTTTTACTCAGAAATCTCTTTTTAGGGCTGTATTTGCCTTCATTGTCCCATTTATGTGCAACTCTGACACCAACGGATTCAATATATAGTTTCTATTTCTGAGTTAGAGTTAGGGTTAATAGCATTATTAGCTATTTATGCACAAAGTCACACACTTTCAGTATTTAATGGTACCTGCTGGTCCAGTAGAGCTAATTGACCCAGTTCTTTAGTGGATTGTGGGTGTTTGTGGGGTGCAGTTCTTCTGTTTGGCAGCAGGGAGCAGCACTGCTTCTGTCTACAGCCACTGCGGGAGAATGCCAGAAATCCAGGGGAGCCGCTTCTAAATGAGCTTGAAAAACAGAGACTGTTCTTGTCCTTCTCTAGATCACAGAAGGAAAACATTCTGTCCTCTCTGTTACTAAACAGAGACCGAATGAATCACAGCTATTCTCACTGTTGTTTTTTTAGCAAGCCGAACCACAGTAGTCATAAATAATCATAGTAGTGGACATACCACATATAAGATGCTTTGTGTGTGTGTGTGTGTGTGTGTTTAGTGTTAGTTGGTGGATTGACTGAACAACTAGTCAACTAATCTGCCTTTTTATTGCAAAAAAGTATTATAGTGCTAACGAAAAAACAGTGATGTAAGGATATTGCTGCTTTAAAAGGACTGCTGCTTTTAACCAGGCATTTATTGACGCAGCTGCCGAATTGTGCATTTATATATAACAATAATTTGATATTTTATTTAATAAAATATCATATAAAATATAATAATAATTAGATTTTTTTAATAATATAAATGTTGATATTTTATTATAAAGTATAAAATATATTAATATATTAATAAAGTATAATATATATATATATATATATATATATATATATAAATTGAGATAAATAAATTGATATAGATAGATATATAGATGTGTATATATATATATTCACAAATATATCTTATAATCTTATATACACAAAAATCTATACATGTATTATATATTTCTGTATTATGTGTTCAGTTGAACTAATAGTACAAGAGAATTATTGGTAGCTGATTAATAACATATAAGACATTTAGAACTTTGTAATTGGTCAAATTAAAGAGCAACTTGTTTATTATGAAAAAATGTTTAGATTAGCTTTTTTTTGGGGCCAAACTCTATATTATAGCAGGACAACAGGTAGATCAACATCTGTCCTCCTTTAAAATGTCAATTGAGATTCTTCAAGGGTTGTTTCAGTACGTTCTTCACCGAGTCATCACTAACTTTTGAGTAGTGTTGTGATATCTGTCTCCTAGTTCTCCGCTCTCCTACACTGTTTCATGTGTGTTTGTGTCAGATTTCATGCATGCTCTTTAGTTTAGGTGCACTTTTCTCCTCTGTCTGTTAGTTCGTTAGTCAGCAGCTGTGTGAGTGGAATTTGTTTCAGGGAAGAGGAGAGAAGCTTGTCCTTCATTTTGGAGAGGGACAGCTGGTCATCTGGTCACTCACATTAACCTCTATTAGTACAGAGGACTCTTAAAACAGACACACGCGCTCTCACACACAAACATACTTGGCACAGACATTTGGCAATTGATGACTAAAACCCTCTCTGCAGATTTGAGGACACAGAGGAACAAGATAGCAGAATAAGACTTTACCATATGGTGCATCCAGTGCGAAACATTTGCTTTCATGGCTAGTTTCTGAATGCTGGCTTTTGGAAATTTAGTGATAGTGGTTAACCGTTATGGGTCAGTGATGACCAGTACCAATCTTATAGGACTAAGTAGCTTCTAAATCTGAAGGAAACATGTCACCCCAAAATAGAAAAGAAATATTCTACATAAAGAATATGAAGGCCATTTTAGGACCATTAATTATTAGTTATATATTAGTGTTTTTTTTACATGTTTAGAATAATTAAAATTATATTAATGCACTGTTCTTATTTTTTTTGTTGTTGAAATATTTAATATATTGCTATATTCATTAATGTATATGTTTTAATGTTTTGATATATAAAAGTAATATTTTCTTATACTTATTCAGTGCCAATTTATGATATAATTGGATATATTTTATATATATATTTATGTTTAGTATACATTTTCATTTCCGCATGTACCAAAAAAAAAATGGATCTTTGTAACTTTTTTTTTTTTATAAAGGTAATACAGTAGGTACTACCATGGTTCATAAATACGGAAATATGTCACTATTCTTCACATTGTATTAATGATTATGAATATTTATTTTATTTTATTTATAACATTATGGAAAGCAGAATTAGAGAAATGTACTTAATTGTCATGAATATTCACATTTCAAAAAGGCTTTATTTTACTTTAAGTAGAATAAAAGTTTTATAAATGTATATATTTGTACTTATTTTTTATTTTATTTTTATTTATTTGTTTGTTTATTTTGTGACATTCGTCCACTTACATTAACATGTTTGTGACTCTACTAATCGAACCCGTTATTAATAAAATAGCTCCAATAAATTGGCCTGAGCACTGTTTCTTAGGTCTGTCTGTGTAAGTGAATGATAACTGTTGCGTATGAACAGGAATCTTACTAGTCCAGTCTTTAAGGTTGACTAAAGAGGCGACAGTCATTTAGTCTGTCTCTCTCTGATTAGGAGCAAGTGTTAGCGCGCGTGTGTGTGTGTGTGTGGATCGAAAGCGGTCCGGCTGGCCAGCGGCGGGCTTCTGCTTTGCTTTTCTTCCCACAGCCTCAATTAATCCAGTTCAGAGGCCCAGTGGTGACAGACCAGAATACCAATGACCCATTTAGAGCCTGAACCACACCGTATACAACACAAACACACACACACACACACTGAGTAAAGCTGCTGTGTGTGTGAATATTTGTTTTATGTGAGAATGAGCGACAGATAGAAAGAGTTAAACCGAATAACTGTCCAGCTGTAATTGTACTGTGTTTGTTTGTCTATATTTGTGTATGTATGTTTAGAGACCACTGAAATGAAGTGGCTTTGGGTTATATCACTCACACACACACACACACACACACACACATGCTGTGCCTCAGGGCCGTGTTAAGTGCGTGTGTAAATAAGACTTTTATAAACTGACTCCATTAGTAGAGCCGCAGGGACTGAGATATCAGAGTGTCAGCAGCACACTGACAGCACAGATATAATACGCTAGATCTGAAATATCTGTATATATGTGTCTGTCTGTCTATAGAACTATCTATATACTGTATGTCTGTTCATATATCGACCTGTCTGTGGTTCTGTCTATCTAGCTATCGTTTTGACTGTCTATCTATCGGTCTATCGTTCTATTTATAGTTCTATCTATCTATCGTTCTATCTATCGTTCTGTCTGTCTATCATTCTGTCTGTGTATCGTTATTTCTGTCTATCATTGTTTCTATCTATCGTTCTATCTATCTATCTATCGGTCTGTCTGTCTGTCTGTCTGTCTGTCTATCTATCGTTCTGTCTGTGTCTGTCTGTCTGTCTGTCTATCTATCTATCGTTCTGTCTGTGTCTTGTCTATCTATTTATCTATATCGCTCTATCGTTCTATCTATTGTTCTATCGTTATTTCTATCTATCTGTCTATCTGTCTGTCTCTGTCGTTATTTCTATCTATCTATCTATTGTTATTTCTATCTATCGTTCTATCTTTCGTTCTATCTATCGTTCTGTCTGTAATGTAACATTTGTGTGTGTGTGTGTGTGTGTGTGTGTGCGTGTGTGTGCTGATTGTCAGATGTGACACCCTCTCCAGTTGGTTAGCAGTGGCTCTGACGGCTCTTGTGTCTCATGCTGTCATGGCTAAATGGTGGCCATTGTGTGTGTGTGTGTGTGTGTGTGTGTGTGTGTGTGTGTGTGTGAGACAGAGAATTTGGGAGTAAAAGAGGGGCCTCCTGGTGGGGTGGGGGGTGTGTGTGCTTCTCAGTGCTAAATAGTGTCCCCGTGTGTGAGGGTGTGTGCTAAACGGTTGATTGTTGTATAATAGGCTGTGTAAATGGGAGGCAGATGGCAGTGTATCAGGCACGTGGGTCCCCCTCAGTGAGAGAGGGAACGAGAGACAGACAGGAAGGAGGTACAAGGGCACAGAGGTCGGACAGGGTCGTGTCTGCACTGTCAGTGGATCCGCGTGTGGTGCATTCACTAGTGTTTCCAGTCTGTGACGTTACCACGGTTACTGGACACCAGGAATTCTCCCACAGCGCTATGGAACAGTTCATTAGTACAGTTCATCTCTATTATTACTCTAGCTCACTCTGGTTTACTTGCATCATACCGATGACCGATATTGATTTTTTTTTTTTATAACCGATACCGATGCCAATTATTTGTATGTTTATGTGCCCGATAACCGTTATGCAGAACCTATATTTATTTACTGTTATAAAGTAAATAAATGACTAAGTGAAGTAAGAACATACTTCACTTTGGTTTTTCCTCTTTTGTTTTTTTTTTTAAGTGTTGAAAATTGGCAGTCTTTCATGTTAAATTTAATCTTCATATTACAACAATAAAAAAACATTTTATTTATAAAAAGCATCAACAGCAACAACACTAATATTAACAATAAGCTAAATAAATGTTGAATGTCTAATGTTTTCAAATGGAGAAAATAAATAAAGGACAGGAGTCATATCAACTTCATTTTAAACTACAGTTTTAGTAGGTTTATAAGGTGTTTAATAGCTACAGAGTGAAGAATAATTCACTGGATAATGTTAATTCACTGAATAATATTCTCCGGAATATTGGAATATAACAAACAAAACATTGTATTTTATTGCATTTCTCAACTGGAATGTTATATCAGAATTATTAATAATGTTTTTGTCCTTCTAGATTATGAAATGCCTGCTGACAGCGCGGTTTATCTATGCAGTTACACAGAACTATACTCAAACTGCGATCGTTCGCGGTTATAATAAATAATTAATTTCCATAGAGTTGTGTTTATTTAGATGCTTATTAGCGAAATAATGGTTATATAGTAAATGTTAATACAATTTAGGGTGTTTTAAACAAGTGAATCTTGTTAAAAGTTACATGCGGTGGCCGTGCTGGAGCATTTCCTGAGCATCAACCGCATCAACCTGGTGAGTGAACAGCAATATGAAAGCGGCTTCACGAGACTAATGATGAGCAAATATACAACAGAGAGAGAATTCAATTCAGCACTTTTATTTCCAACATGTGCTCATTCATGGCAGTATTATTTAACTCATGCAAAGTTACATCTTTATTGGGAGAGGACTTGACGGATTACGTGACTCTGACTTCACGAGACTAACGATGAGCATAGACAATAGAGAGAGAATTCAAATCAGCACTTTTATTTCCAACATGCGCTCATTCATATTTGCATATTATTTAATTCAGGCAAAGTTACGTCTTTATCGGGACAGAATTTGATGGATTATTTTACATGACTCCGTGAGTTGGTCTCTATTTCTTAGAGCCAAGCTGCATAAACTACACATCTGGCATTTATGTAATGCATCTAATTTGTGCATAAATGGCTGTTATGTTCAATAAAGTTTACTAACTACAGCAAATCAAGTACCTGCACCATGCCGTTGTTGTTGTCTCGTCTCCCCTCAGACGCCGTGCTGCAATGGCGATACTGCGTGCAATTCTCAAAACACCCACAAGATGGCGGCGTTTATCGGTGAAGCCGATATTACAAAACCGATATCCGATTATGGTAAAATGCTTAAATGTCGGGAAAAATATCGGTAAATCGATATATCGGTTGATCTCTAATTGTAACACATCCATTTACATTTTAGCAATAGGTTTTATTTAGCATTTTAAAATCAACGGTTCTTTTCCGAGATGTTTGGTCAAAAAGTGTTCCAGTCGTGTGAAAATAAACCTGTTCACCCTGTTGCACATCACCCATAGAGGTCAACTATTATCCTTAGTTTACATAACACTGAGAACTGTTCTGCTTTTCATTCCATTTGAAACAGTCCTTCTGTTAGACAGTTTTATTTAGATAGTTGTTTGGAGAATGTGTCATTAGCAAGCCGTTTAGAAAAAAAAATCATTATGATGATTATTTGTTTGGTTGGTTTAATGATCATTTATTTGTTTTTCTATTTTATTTTATTTTTTATTTTTCTTTACATTTTGTTAATTTTTTACCATGAAGATTATTTCTTTATTTATTCATCCATCCATTTATCCATTCATTTTTTGTTATTTATTTATTTATTTTTTATTTGTTTGTTTTTATTTTATATTTTGTTTTATTTCTTTCATTTTTTTTACTGTAAATATTTTTATATTTGTTTGTTTGGTTTAATTAGCATTTGTTTGTTTGTTTGTTTTCTATTTTATTTTTTATTTCCTCAATGTTATTAATTTTTTTACCATGAAGAGTATTTGTTTGTTTTTTGTTGTTTGTTTATTTTTGTCATTTTCATTTGTTTTCATTTTTATTTGTTTTCATTTTAGATTTTGTTTTGTATTTCCTTTGTTTGTTTTATTTAATTTAGTTAGTTTATTTTTACCATGAAGATTATTTGTTTGGTTTAATTTCATTATAATTTTATTTGTTTGTTTGTTTATAGTTTTCATTTTTAGTTTTATTTCTTACATTTTTTATTAGTTTTATTTTATATAGTTTTGCATTTTATTTTATTTTTTGTTTTATTTATTTTTATATTGCACTTTATTTCACTGAATGAATGTATCTGATTTGCATTAAGCACTCAACTTCTACTAAATATCAGTGGCTATATCTACTAGCAGAAGAGGCTTGTGTTTTATTGCACATATAGCAACTCCATTGTGCCCTAACATCGTTTTCTTTCGAATATTGCACAACGTCTCTAAGCTTATTGTTTAAAGTACATGAAATGCATTGTGTTTTGCTTTCTTTCAGGTATGCTACATTTTTGCAGATCCCAATGAAAGTTTGCATTGCTTGTGTACTACTACAGCTTACAGTTGCAACTTGTGTACTGCAAAGAGTCTTTTTGGATAAACATGTCTCCTAAATGACTACATGTAAAAAGTAAAGCATACTTAGTTTTTGCTATTAATGTGAAACGACAAAGCAGAATGAATCGCCAATGAAAATCACAGTTCTATTTGCATAATCATTTCTCTACTGATGTGAATGGCCTTTAATGCTGCATCATAGATATCACACATTAAGTCCCTTGGAGCTTTTATTAAAATCATAATATTGCTCAGTACGCTTTACTCCATCTCCACTGAAGTTGATCTAGTCCTCTGCACTCTATTTAGTGCACACCCCCACACTTTGCTCCCTGTCTGTGAGAGGCTACTGGGTCGAGTCTGTGAGTGACGGGAGTGTGTCCCTTGGCCCCTAATAGCTTCTTAATCAGACCAAATAATAGACTGCCATGCCTGTTCATCTCACACACACACACACACACACTCTCTCTCCAGTGCTCACATATGGGTATGGCACATAATTATGCACTTTATTAAATATATTTGTTAATCAATGTATTTATTTACATAATTATTCACATACTTATTTACATACTTATTCATTGTTATTAACAGTTGGAAACCCAATATTTGTTTTGGAAAGTATTTTACGCAAATAATTTATTATTACACAGTATATGTTTATAAACCTATATTTTTTTATATAATAAGTAAGCCTATGCATGCATTATATTATGGGGAAGTCGTGGCCTAATGGTTAGAGAGTCGGACTCATAACCCAAAGGCTGTGGGTTCAAGTCTCGTACCGGCAGGGATTGTCGGTGGGGGGAGTGAATGTACAGCGCTCTCTTCCACCTTCAATACCACGACTGAGGTGCCCTTGAGCAAGGCACCGAACCCCCAACTGCTCCCCGGGCGCCGCAGCATAAATGGCTGCCCACTGCTCCTTGTGTGTGTGTGTTCACTGCTGTGTGTGTGCACTTTGGATGGGTAAATGCAGAGCACTAATTCCGAGTATGGGTCACCATACTTGGCCACATGTCACTTCACTATATTATATGATATTATATTTTATATTATTTTACATTATATTATATTTTATTAAATGAGTTATGGCATATGGAGTAGAATTTACCTACATAATTAAAAAAAATGTGTGTGTGTGTATCTTTCTCTCTCTCTCTCTCTCTCTCTCTCTCTATATATATATATATGTGTGTGTGTGTGTCTCTCTGTCTCTTTCTATGTGTGGGTCTCTCTATATGTGTGTGTCTCTCTGTCTCTCTATATATATAAATGTGTGTGTGTGTCTTTCTCTCTCTCTCTCTCTCTCTCTCTCTCTCTCTATATATATATATATATATATATATATATATATATGTGTGTGTGTGTGTCTCTGTCTCTCTCTATATGTGTGTGTCTCTCTCTCGCTCTCTTTTATGTGTGTGTGTGTGTTGTATTATATATGTATTTATTTTCAAAAATCTGAGTCTCATCAATGTTTGTTTTCATCAATGTCTACATCAATTTGTTTTATTTGACATTGATTCAAACATGATAAATACTAGGATATTTTGTAAATCTTTAATATATTACCACTAACTGTTGTTTGGCTATTATCATTATCACCTTCTTTTCAGACCATTAGTCATTAAATCCTCTGCGAACACTGCAAATATATTCATTGTGGCAGGCACCTTTAATTTATTCTCTAATTAAGTTTATAATAATCTCATTCACAGTTCATTTCATGTACGTAATTTCAAGTTCGTTGGTTACGTCTTTTTTGTCTTTTGAAGAGCCATTTTTGGGAGAATATAAACTAATAAATTGTGCACAATAAGATTAAAGGTATTGGTTAAGTAAATTGTGTCCATTTCGAAATAATTGTATTGTTTGAATGTTTTATATTTCTCTCTGTTGAAGTAATTTTCACAGATATTTTAAGTCAATCCTGAATCTATTTGAGGTTTTCTCTCTGACGCCAACATTAAAACCTTACTGTATGTTTTAAAATTGCTCTTTTATACTATTTAAACTTGTTAGTCACCATGAAAATAGCCAAGGAAGCTGACATGGTGTCAAAAAGCCAACCAACCAATCCATTTTTGTGTGTGTATTTCCAGGTTTGCCGGTAAGACGGTGGGTTCTGGATGTCTGGTCCTGGTGTCGGTGGCCCTGAAGGATCCTGATGCTGGGATCACCATCAACACAGAGAAAACAGTGATGGCCTCTATGCTCCTGCGACAGGTTAAAATCACCCTGACCAACAGCGGCCCTTAGAAAGACCTGTTCACATGTTCAGTCACGGACAAATGCTGTATTCAAATATAGCTCGCTCTGGTTATAATGACACTTGGGAGGATTTGTATTGTTTTGAGAAGATGACAGACAGAGGGCTTCATATCTGTTCTCGTTTCAAGAGACTTTATGCCCAAAAATGTGCTTTGCGTAAGTCTCTGCTTTCATTACGGCCGAGTCAATGTTCTCTGCTAATCTGTGAGATTTGACCATATTCAGAAAGGCTTTTTTAGCACAGTTTTTATTTGTTGTTATGATTTCATTTCGACACATTTCCCAGATGACATGATGCTGGCTAACTAGTATGTGCTGCTTTCTGTCTGCTCTCTGTGTGGCCAAAACATGCAAAGTTTCAATCCTATGTGAAAGTGCCTTTCTTAAAATGATTGTTCCTGACAGAAGTTACATTTGCTTAAAATTAGTGATTAAAAAAAATATATATATATATATATGGAAACTGAGAAGTGGTTTGGTTTTCTCATTTGCCTCATATTTGCTGACGTGTGTATGAGTGTTTGAGAGTGTTCGAGCATGTACATTTGCCCATTAAGTGAGAGAAATTGTAGTTTATGGCCAAAATGAGGCTTTTCTCTGTCAAGCAACAAGCCACATCTTTATGGAGCATTATGGCACTTGTTGTTTATCACACAGAGCTGATATGATGTGCGGCTCACGGTTTTATGGGAGGGACGTGTGCGAGAGAGAATTCAGCAGCATCTCCTTCCATCACTGGAGGCTGTTAAGATGCACTTCCAGAGAAAACACTCATCATGCGCTCACCTCGCGTGTGCTTAGCTGCTTCATCTCAGCCTGCTTTTATCTCTGTAATTATGGTGACGATGGCATAATCATTATACTGTCGATAGAATGCATGATGATCACTAAACTATGTAGTAATAATTACCCAATAATGTACGAGATGCTGCGCTGTATTGTAAAAGTAATTATAGGAAACCAGAGTATATACAGCCCCTTTAGCACATTAGGGAAAATAAATGTGAATGTGTGTGTGTGTATATATACATATACATATATATGATACTGAGATACTATTATTGAGAAGTAATAATTACCCAATAATGTACGAGATGCTGCGCTGTATTGTAAAAGTAATTATAGGAAACCAGAGTATATACAGCCCCTTTAGCACATTAGGGAAAATAAATGTGAATGTGTGTGTGTATATATACATATACATATATATGATACTGAGATACTATTATTGAGATACTACTATAGTTTTTATTAATATTTTGAATTGGTTTTTATTTTTGTATTTTCTGTTTTCAATTTTTGAAAATAATTTTTTGGGGGTGTTTTTGCCTTTTTGTTTTGTTTTTTATAATATTTGTATTTCAGTTTCTGTTATTTTAGTACATCAGGTTAAACTAATGAAATTAAAATTATTTTTTTTAATATATATATATTTTTTTAAAAAGTAATGAATTATTATTGTTTTTATGGTTTTAGTTTTCATTTTAGTTATAATAACCCTGATCCCCAAGGTCTGTCTGTCTTTCTTTCTTTCTTTATATATTTATTTATTTTAAATGCATATCAATTATTTAGCTTTTTCTAATAATTTAAAAATTTCTTCTGAATATTGTTTAAATTAACTAAATTAAGTTATACTTTTTTTCTGTGTACTCAGTATTAATTCCTAGTACGCTACTTTTGTGCTTTAGAAAATCCCAATAATTTATAACATTTATTAAAATAATAATAATAATAAATGGCAGTTTGTGAATGGCATCACCAGGAAGTGACATCAAATTTGGTGTCTGTGGATGTAGCAATAGATTTGATGAATTCTGTGATGTTTTGTGATATTAGTTAGTCTCACCTTACAACATTCCATCCTGTTAAAGGAAATCTTAAAATTAAATAAAAACATTAAAAAAAAGAAGTAGTTGTTTCAGACATACTAAAATAATTGACCTACTAATAATTGGCTTTGTTGTTTTTTATGTAACTGTGTATTGACCACTCAGCAGCCAGGACTGGAACTCTTTTATGATAATGTGTCAGATAATGGCTGTGTTATAAAAAACTAGTGATTTTGGGCATCATAGTTTTCAATAAGTGTGTTTTGAGTGTAACGGTGCTGTCCTGCTCATGCACTGTTTAGTTAATAAAATCAAGAGAATTACATCAGCATCAGCAACATGCAACTCCCCTCGTAATGACAATTAAAAGCTGCTCAGATAAAGCCAAGTGTATGTGAGATGGGAGCCGCTTCACTCAGATTAATAGAGGTCACGCTAACAGCAGCCCATCAAGACTGTGCTGTAATTTTAGTTCAAAATGCAGAGTTTATCACAGCATTCTGACAAAACGCATGGCACACCGTGTTTTTCATCAATTAAACTAGATTTATTGAGGTTAGAAATGGATAAAATCTGAGGAGTCCATCAGCAACATGCAACTCCCCTCGTAATGACAATTAAAAGCTGCTCAGATAAAGCCAAGTGTATGTGAGATGGGAGCCGCTTCACTCAGATTAATAGAGGTCACGCTAACAGCAGCCCATCAAGACTGTGCTGTAATTTTAGTTCAAAATGCAGAGTTTATCACAGCATTGACAAAACGCATGGCACACCGTGTTTTTCATCAATTAAACTAGATTTATTGAGGTTAGAAATGGATAAAATCTGAGGATTTAAAGGCATTCGGCTGGTGCCTCGGTAATTATTTTTAAACTCTGTTGCGACGTGATTCGACTTCAATTAGGGCAATGTAAACACTGCGCTTTCAATTAAACCTGGAGATGTTGCAGTGGTTGTACGTGTGTTGCCGTGGTAACTGACAGTGTAAATATTCTGCGTGGGTTTTGTGATGCCAGCCTGCTTTTTAATATGTAACGGGTAAAAACTCCACTCAGGAAGTCAGGATTTCCCATTCTCATGAAATTCAAAGTCAACAGCACTTTAAACACTCTAAAAAAGTGCTTGGTTGTTTCAAACCAACTCTGGGTCAAATATGGACTAACCCAACTTTTGGGTTAAAAATTGAATGTAAAAATTTAAAGGGGTCATATGATGTGATTTCAATTTTTCCTTTCTCTTTGAGTGATAGAGAGATATTCTTTATAAAAGTTAAGAGTCAACCACGCACATATCTACATCACTATGTGGGAGGATTTGCATAACGCCGCCCAAATGTTCACGCAATGAAAGAAGGCGTAACTTTGATTCTCGCTGTAGTATTGTTGCTGCCGCCATGTCGTGAAGACGCTGTGTGTTTCATTGTGAAAGTGAATTATTCCCTGTATAGAATGAACAAAAATGAGTCTGGGAATTGCAGTCTATGTGGATTAGCAGAAATTGTAGAGCATGTATTAATATATTGCACTGCTTATCAAAATGAAAGGATAATTCTGGTGGAAGAGTTAATGGGTATAGGAAATATTACCAGTGTTGGGGGTAACGCATTACAAGTAACGCGAGTTACGTAATCAGATTACTTTTTTCAAGTAATTAGTAAAGTAATGCATTACTTTTTAATTTACAAGAGAATATCTGAGTTACTTTTTCAAATAAGTAACGCAAGTTACTTTTTTTCCCCAATTTATTAACTGACAGCTCTCCTGTCCCCATGTTGAGAGAAATCAGAAGATGTTACTGTAGTTCTAAAATAAATATGAATATGCATTAATTCATCTCACTCACAAAAAAATAAAAAACACTGATTCAGTATTCCTCAAAATGAATAAAAATAATGCAACTCAGAATATGACGTAAACCTGCAATAATTAAATGTTAAACAACACAAATATCCTTTATGTATTTAATCCCATTCTATTAACCAATGTCTTTGCTTCTGACCTTCGATGATCCAGTTCAACCGTACTAAGCCAAAATTACTCTAGACAAACACTTGTGTGTGTTTTTTTATTGCTGAAGTGTGTTAATTTCTTCTGTATTCTACTGTACGGACCTAAATTTACTTTACCTTCAGCCTGAGGCTTATTCATTTCACTTTTGGTGTGAAAGGCTTTTATATTTGCCAAAAATATAACTTTTTTATTTTAAAAACAAACAAGCAAGCTCAGATTTAAAAAGTAACGCAAAAGTAACGTAACGCATTACTTTCCATAAAAAGTAACTAAGTAACGTAATTAGTTACTTTTTTATGGAGTAACGCAATATTGTAATGCATTACTTTTAAAAGTAACTTTCCCCAACACTGAATATTACACTTAAAAAACTGCTGAATAATGGATTGGAACGTTTTAGAGTATATAAAGCATTAATGAAATATTTAAGAAAGGTGCATCTGTTTAAGAAGATTTAGAAGCCAATTTATTATTAGTGTTTTTTTTCTTCTCTCAGCTTAGTCTTTCTTCCTGTTCCATCAATGAATCACCCTCCAGCTTAGTAGGTGGCGGGAATGCACCTTTTTGTTTGTTTGCCAACCGCCATAAGAATCCAGAAGAAGAAGACAGGAAAGCAGATTAACGTCGGTAGACTTGTACTTGAAAAATGGTGTGTATTGACGTCTTTCTGCGGTTAAAACAAGATGCTTTCTGATGTTCATTCATGTTTATTTCATACTATAACTAATAAAGAGGAAGAGGCGATCGCTTCACATGCCGCTTGAACGGAGGAATCTGTCATGACACATTGAAAAGCCACAAAACTGTATTTATTATTTGAATATCCCCCCAAAAAACGACAACATTTTAAAGCCGAGACTTTGTTTCATACGTAAAGTAACCAGCTCGGTCTTGTCTGTCGGCGTGTTGTCAGTTTCCTCTGCTCTGCGATGTGTTTTTCACTGCGTGAGAACATGATTTGTGGCCTGAGAGCAGCATGGCTCGTCGGACATAGTAACAGTAACAAAGGCGGACGGGTTTTTGCAAAGGGTTAATTGTGAAATTTACTAGCAATTTCTAAGGGTAAAAAATCTAAATTTTCATTAAAAATGTCGTAATAAATTTAGAAAGATTTTGAAAAAACTTTTTAAAAGAACTCATATTAATGTATAATGCTTTTACAATAGCAATAACTCCGTAATTATATTTAGGAAGAAGCTGATTATCATAGTATATTTATAACTTTGTAAGGAACAGATCTCAGATTCAACATGTGAGCTATAGGCCTATCTGAATAAAGAGAACAACAGGTGTGAACACACACGCAAAGACGTCACAGTCTCACACTAATTATGACTTTCTCTCATTTGACTTTTAATTTTAGCCTTCTTTATTACCATGAAAAGATTGTACAATTGTACTGCAGAGACAAACGTTTCCTGAGAGAATGCAATGTAAAGCATCCACACTTTCACTCAGACACTTGAACAAACTCCGTGGTTCTCTCTTTGCTTTCCCTCTCTTTGTCGCTCTCTCTCTCTCTCTCTCTCTCTGTTGTTCTGACAGCTTGATTTCGTGGTCTCTCGGTGGGCAGCTCAGGGCAACATGATGGGCTTCTTAATCTGAGCTTTTCATGCTGTCTGTCAGGGCCAGAGGAGGAGGAAGAGTGTGTGTGTGTGTGTGTGTGTGTGTGTGGTAGCTTTTGGAAACGGCTGTCTGACCCGAGCGTGGGGAGCAGCTCCTATTAGACAGAATCTTATCAAGCGTGTCTCCGATCTGCTGACAGCGTCACAAACACACACACACATGCTGACATGCTCTGATAAAACTGCCGTTTTCTCTTCTCTTTTTTCCTCTGCTTCATCTCTCCATTCTTGCACTTGTTTTATCATCTACATTTTTATGCTTCATTCCTATCAGGCTTTACTGAAAGCATTATGCATGTCCACGAGGTTATACGAGCACAGACTGATGTCATGCGTTTCTATATGAATACTGCTCGACTCTTTGAGTGAGAAAGCTGAATATATAATCCATTACAGACATTATAATGCACATTTCAAAATTATTATTATTATACTTGTTCTTATACTCAGTAAAATGTACCTGGCTACAGAATATATAATATAATGATTATAAGACATAATATAGCATGTGAAATTGTTTTTGATATTGTTTTATAGTTCAAATATAGCAAATAAAGCACTTTTATGATGCTTTTCGATACTGGAATCAATTTTAAGTTTAATGACAGAACAGTGTTATTTTAGCATCATTAATATACTATTGTAGTTTTTGTTAATATTGTGAATTAGTTTTTTTTTAATACATTTTCTGTTTTAATTTTAGTTTTAGTAATTTTGTTGTGCATGTGTGTGTTAATTCTTTTTTTTTTTTTTTTAAATGTCTATAGGTTTTATTCATTTATGTATTAGTTTTATTTTGGAGTTATTATTCTCCATTTTATTCTCCAATTTATTATTGGAGTTCTTCAAGATAAACTAAACAATGAGAAATGTTGCTTTGGCAAATAGCAGAAAATTTTATAAGTTTAATATTTTTTTTATATTTTATTTAATTTTAGTTATGTATATTTTATGTAAACATGTATATTTTAAGTTACGAAAATGTTTTTTTTTTTTATGGTTATAGTTAATAACCCTGACAAAGGGCAGCATGAACTTTCTACAAAATATCTCCTTTTATGTTTGACGTAATAAAATAAGTCATTTGGGTTTGAAACGACATGTAAATTCTAACGATTATTCAAATTTGGTGAATTACTTTAATCAATATGTAAAGATTCTAATGCATTATTCAGTTATAAAAAATAAGAAATTTGAGAAAGCGTTCTTTAAAGAATCTTTTGTGTGCGTGTGTGTGTGTGTGGGTCCTACAGGAGAAAGTCATCCAAGTTTTTAACAACATGAGGGTGAGTAAAAGATTACACTATTTAAATTTTTGGGTGAACTATCACTTTTAGAGAAAAGTCAAATATAAAATTGTATGTGTAACACCATATAAAGCCAAAAAACCTAATGCATTTTAGTCTTGTATATGGCATCCAGTAGTTTACAGCACAAAATGTGACCCCCACAGTGTTATTAAACTGAACTGGACTGACTGGAGCTGGAAAAGCTGGCGGTAAAAGCCCTGGGTCTGTTAGCGGAGGCCTGGGGGATTTCAGCTGCTGAAATAAACTACGTGCTCCGTGACAGCAGAAATTGTAACAAAAGAAAACAAGAAACAATAAAAACACAAAGGAAAGCAGCTCTCTTGATTAACTGCCACAAGCATTTACAAATGCATCTGTTGTGCTCTAACAAAGACACTTAAGAGCGGCTGAAGTGCTGGGAGGGACGAGGACGTGTGACCTATTGTTCAGTCATTTATGCCTGATGTTCAGGGTAAAATATTGACTGCTTGGAGGAAAGAATCACATTGTGTTTGGCATCAGGATTCACAATTTAACTTGTGTCTGAATTCTGAAAATTCTGAATGTGAATCTTTTTTAGACTGGTCTTAAAGTCTGCTCACACGTTCAAATACACACAAATGAGGTTGTTTTGACATTTTATGCTAAAACAATATTCATCTTTGGATAAAAAAATAAAGCAGCAGCTGTACATTGAATATAATATTATGACAGAGGGGAAAAAAGATTATTACGGTAATTATACAGTAGACAAATAAAACACATCACTCAAAAATCATTATACATTTGTAGGTTATAAATGAATAACCTCCTGCATGCAGTTACTTTTGACATTTCAAATAGTGCCAGATTTCTAAAACATTGTTATTTGCTTTGTTGTTTTTAATGAAATATCTTATGAGCTTGTTCTAAGAAATTTTAAACTTACGATAAACCAAAACTGAAAACCAAAAAATGGCACCAATTTGCAACAAAGCTTGAACGTGTCCCATCTATAGCAGTGTTTTTACTGCTCAGATTTTGAAAAGCTTCGCGAGGACACTTGTTTAGTCTTTATTTTATTGAGTATTGACATAAGTAAATTACTGAGTAATTTAATGATTCTAAGTAATTTATATGTTATTCAAGCATGAACCGATGTACTTGTCTGTATAAAGTAAACAACCCAACAGCTGGGTCAAAACTACCCAACAGCTGGGTCAAAACAACCTAATAGCTGGGTCAAAACAATCCAAATGCTGGGTCAAAACAATCCAAATGCTGGGTCAAAACAATCCAACTGCTGGGTCAAAACAACCCAACAGCTGGGTCAAAACAACCCAACAGCTGGGTCAAAACAACCCAACAGCTGGGTCAAAACAATCCAACAGCTGGGTCAAAACAACCCAATAGCTTTAACCCAGCATTTTTTAGTGTAGATTTAGATTATCAATCATTAAGGGTTTTACAGTAAGAATTTACTTTTATTTAGCAAAGACTCATTGTTGCAAATGATTTCTATGTTGTTCTTTTAAATGAGGCCTATGTGATTTTTTTCACATAAATATGAAGCAGCACAACTGATTTCAACATTAATAATAAGAAGAAATCAGCATATTAGAATGATTTCTGAAGGATCATGCGACACTGAAGACTGGAGTAATGACGCTGAAAATTCATCGCATCACAAATTTGTTGCATCACAAGAATAAATTATATTTTAAAATATATTTAAATATAAAACCACTTATTTTAAATTGTAATAATATTTCACAATTTTACAGTTTATACCGCATTTTTGATCAAATAAGCGCAGTCTTAGTGAGCATAAGAGACTTCAGAAGGAAAAAAAAAAACTTTAAAAATCTTACCAACTCCAAACATTTGAATGGCAATGTGTATATCTGTAGATTTCTCTCTCTATATATTGCTTCTCTTGTTTTTGAGTGAAGTTTCCTGTACATGCATATATGTGTTATACAAGGAACCTCACTTAAAAGCAAAACCAAATAGTCTATTTAAAGTAGATATTACTATGTAAAGTGGTTTAAAGTGAGGTTTGCAGGCCTAAGCATCTCTGTGAGCCTAATGGAAAACATTTACACACCTGCGGCTTTATCGCATCTACATCTTTAACAGACAACAATAACACTCTTGTTTTCGTTTATCTGCTTTCATGCATCTAAGTTTCTCATCTCATTTAACATCCAATTTACGTAGTTACGACACATTTAAACAAGTCGACAGCACAAATTCCAGCAGTAACCTATACATTCCTCTTTGTGATTATGCTCGTGTTTGTGTGTGTGCAGGTTACAAGTATATTGCAGAGGCAGAGGGAAGTGAATGGAGAGTAATGGATGGTTTGCTGTGAGTGAGTGTCTCAAGCTCACCAAATACAATTTTTCTCTTCAAACAATCACTCTGTGTCTCTGAGGAGCCCCGGGCGCAGTAATTGATATGATTAGCCGTAAGTGGCTGCTTCACAGCTATGTTATGTCTGTTTTATTGTAATTAGATTTTTTTGGTCGTCTTTGAGGAGCTGAACTTAAACGACTGCATGTTCTCCCTCTGAAGTATTCAATCAGACACTCATTAGACGAGAAAGACAGATTCATCTTTTCTTATTTTCGACAGATTTTTCTCCCCTCGCTCTCTGTCTTTCTCTCTTCCTCATCTTCGGCCTTGGTTTCCTCTTTTCCTTCATTCATATAGATGATTCGTCTGTGGATTGAAACAGCGAATCGTAATTTCCACCTGCGGTCATTACAGGCCGTTGAAGTAATAACAGAAGAAAAAATGGGTTTTTGAACAGTTTCTTCACACACACTGATGCTAAATCTTTCCTATCGACATCTACTCACCCTTTATTCTGTTTTCTGCAACATTAATTTGCTAATTCACAGCTTAAATTTGTCATTTTTCAGATACAGTCTTCACTTAATGGAAATGCAAGACTAGTGACTGTTTCCAAACAGGTTTCCTGACAATTCCCACTGTCTGCCAATGGTTTGTCGCTTATCCTACCATAAACAGGTGCATTTGATGATCAGTTTTCACTTTCAGGTAATATCTGAGTGACTGTTTGCAGTGAATCTTGCTAAGTGAGGTAGTTAAAGTTAGTTTAAACGGTTTAATGACACAGAAATTTGAGTATGGAGGTTTGTTACTGCCGCAATAGCATAAAAAAACACTATAAATATGTACAATGGATCAATTAACCTGAATATTTAAGCGCTTGCGTATGTTGTTTTTTAGACTGAAAGATGTAATGTGACCGGCTCCAAATTGTGATTTTCAAAGTTCCTGTAGTTGATATCTGTGGGAATTTGTGCCAGTATTAGTTATATCTGAGAATTTCTTGATGGAATGTGAAAGCTTTCAAGCTCAGTCTTGGTATTTAAGAGATCTTGGTTTAAGGTCACCTTGTATCTGACTGTCCATTAAAGCAGCACTATGTAACTTTTTCTGTGATCAAAATTTGCTAAATGTATATAATGAGCGAGTACATCATGAATTCATCTTCCAAACCGTGTTTTTGTCTTATTCCGAATCACTACGGTACACTTATAATAAGAACTTATATTTGGACTATTGTAGCCTGGTCGTCACTGCTGCGGAGGAACACATACCTGCGTGAAACGCCATAGACATAAACACAGAGAAGTAGCTCCGGTTGGAATGTCACTTTTAGCTCCAAATGTTACATAGTGCTGCTTTAAAGTATATGTGGTTTTAAAAATCTGCTAAATAGAAAAATGCCTCTATTGCATCCTTGAGCAAGACTTGAGGTTGCTGTAGAAGGATTGTCATTGTATTAAATGGATGATAGTAAAATAGTAATACAATTTTGTCATCATTTACTGAGCTCGTGTCATCTTAAAGGGGTCCTATTATGCTCTTTTACAAAGTCTTGATTTTGTTTTGGGGGTGTACTAGAACATGCTCTCATGCTTGGTGGTTCGAAAAACGCATTATTTTTCACATAATTTACATTATTAAAGTACCTTTCTCCCCAGCCTGGCACAAACGGCTCGATTAGGTCCGGCTTTGATGAAGGTCCGCCTTCCGAAAAACAAAATGTGTTGTGATTGGGTAGCTGTCCCAGTGCGTTGTGATTGGCGAACAGCTTAGACGGTGTTTCAGTACTGCCACGCCCCTTGCTCCGTCTTTCAACAAAAGCTTTTTGGCGAATCCGGCACTGTTGGCCTACTCCCTCATGTTGTGGAAGCTGTCCTCAGTAAAATGCGCAGCACACAATAGCAAATTGGGGTTATAATGCTCAGGAACAGAGTTAAAAAATAAATTGCAACCACTGTTTCCTGACATCATCCGCTTTCGGAAGCCCAAACAAAGACGTTTGGGCACGGAGGTGAAAAAAACAGCGTTTCAGGCGGTCGCGCACCGGACGAGAAGCACAGCGTCGCGTCGTGCCACGTCTTTAAAATTCGAATACATTATTTTCTCCGCGGCGCCCAGCTACGTCGTGTTGTACTTGTAAGAATTGTTCTAGACATGCCGAAAATGTTACGCTACAGCACAGCAGCTCTTCTTCTTCGTTTTCTCTGATGCACTAACTCTGCAGCAGCACTTCTTCTTCGTCGTCTCGTCTGATGCACTCATTCAACCAAGCGTTCTAACCACAACCTCGCCCCTCCCCACCCCCCAACCATTCGAATTTCTGTAGGCGGGAATTATTTTTAATGATATTCTAATGGGCCGCTTTGTGATATCACAAAGCCCGGAAACCAACGCTGTAGTCCAAACGAGCCGTTCGTTGTAGTTCTTGAAAAGGGATTTTAAAAAAACGAAATATCTCCCTTTGGAGTGGACTTTGAGATTTGTAACTTTCTAGATCTTTTTTATGCCCAAACATACACACTACACACTGACTAAAATTCAAAAAAGCATTATAGGACCCCTTTAAACCTCTATGACTTTCTTTCTTCAGCGAAACACAAAATGATATTTTGAAGGATGTTGACTTTCATTGTATTTCATATTTTCGTTTTGTGAGTTTCACGGTAGAAAGAAAATAATACAGGTTTGTAACAACATGAGGTGAGTAAATGATGACAGAAATGTTCTTTAGCAAGCAAACACCTAGCAACACCCTGGCAACCCTACACAACTCCCTAGCAGCAAGTTTTACACATTCAAGCACTAAATTACTAAATGTAAATATGTAGTTTAGTCAAAGAAACATAGTAATTAAGCACAAAACACAGGTGATAACTTCACCAGAATAGCCATCTGACTGCAATTGTGTATGTCATCTCATCTGATTTAATATACAATAAAAAAGCTGTTATAGCACATTATGAATGTTTAATGAATTCTAAACCCCCCCAAAAAAATCTTGCTCATAATTCACAGGCTTGTCTACGACAGCCTGATTCAGCTCTGAGCTGCTCAGTAAAGGAGGGAGTTTGTGTAATTGGCTGATAATGGGTTTTATAGAATGTGTTGTCATAAAAGAGGGTGTTTTCATTTCAAATTAAACTCTCATTGAATGCCGTCGTGTCTTTCATTGTGCCACGTTAAGGTTTAAGTACCCTCTTTGCAGGTGTTTCCTGAATTCTGGATAACACAACACACACACACACACATTTGTGGCCTTTGATTGGGTGTTTGCGCAGTAAAAGCTGTAGATGTAATGGGAGTTGCTCAGTGTGAAGGCTATAGAGTCTTAATTAGCCCTGATTGCTCAGTGAAAGCCCTCAAGTGCCTGAATTAGCCATAAAAAACACTCAGTGCATTAACATATCTTGTAGAAAAATTGGAAATAGAAAAACAAAATCCAGGATATTAATCAGCAATGCTGCATATTCGGTTTGGGTTAATACAAGGATATATATATATATATATATATATATATTTATCTTGTAAATATTTGGGAATTTGACTCTAATACTGTGTGCTTCATATAATCTTGTATGCATATATGTAATTTTCAGTTTGCCTCATTAACAAATATCCCAATATACAGTGTATATATATCAATACATGTAGAGAACACATGTATATAATATATATTATGCTAATAATTAATTGAAAAGTTTATATTTATAATTTGTTTATTTATATATTTACATTATATTTATGTATCTGCATAAAACATTGGTGAATTAGGGCGCAACTACTACATAGCTATGACATAAATGCTGCATTAAATGCATATTTGCATGCATGAATTCTGAAAACGTGCAAATATATACAGTGGGTACGGTAAGAATTCAGACCCCCTTAAATTTTTCACTCTTTGTTATATTGCAGCCATTTGCTAAAATCATTTAAGTTAATTTTTTTTTCCTCATTAATGTACACACAGCACCCCATATTGACAGAAAAACACAGAATTGTTGACATTTTTGCAGATTTATTAAAAAAGAAAAACTGAAATATCACATGGTCCTAAGTATTCAGACCCTTTGCTGTGACACTCATATATTTAACTCAGGTCAGTGCATAATTTCTATTATATCTCTTGAAATAATAGTGAATATATATGTGTGTGTTAATACATTTTAATAAATAAAGAACAGATATAAATGTTCACTATTATTTAACATTAACATTAATATATATTAATACAATTATAATGTAATTAATCTATTATATATATAAGAAATTATTTATTGAAATATATTACATATATATACATATATATTTGCACATTTTTGTATATATATATATATATATATATATATATATATATATTCCATAAGTTTAAAGAAAAGATGATAATTAAATCATAAAAATGTAAAATTACAATAAATCATTTTAAAATAACACCAATCAAAATAAAACACTTACTAAAAAAGATTAAATGTAATCATGTAATCAAGAAAATCTTATCTAATTGCAAGTACTTTATATTTGGAATCGGATTACATAATCCAGATTACTTATAATCCATTTCTACCCAGCACTGATAGATAGATAGATAGATAGATAGATAGATAGATAGATAGATAGATAGATAGATAGATAGATAGATAGATAGATATTGTAACAAAATTCAATCAGAGTAAATATTCATAGTCATAATATAATATAAAAATAATATTAAAGTCAAATTTGAGGAGATTTTGAAATACAAGGTGTTTAAAAATAAATGCACTAGCTTGTACTTACTTTCCCTTCCTTCTCTCTGTAGCACAGACCTATGGAATCAAAAAAGAGGCCATTTACAATGTGCAAGGGTGGTGTGAAGTGTATATTTAGTTTTTCAGTGCATTGTGTGTGTGTGTAAATAGCTTCACTAATCACTGCATTCGAAAAGTGCTGATTTATGGCTGTTGTTGAATGCGGGCCATGATGAGAGGGCCGGTGGTAAGTGCATTTGGATGTCTCTGTGTGATGGTGGCGTAAATAGTTGCTTTATTTATTGCCGTGCTGGGGCCCTCCGTGCGGAAGAGCGCCTCCCCAAATTGAAATATAGCGCGAGTTTACTCTGCTGATTAGGGCTCGAGCGCTGCAGCCGCCCAAGGCTATCATCAAACAGAGAATGGCGCGAGCTGACACCTAATTGTGGCGGGATTAATGTGCGCGGAGTGACAACAAATAACCCCCGAGTGTCAGCACGAGAGACTGGTGCCGCACAATGGATGAGGCACCGGGCCTTTGGTGTAGGGCCACGTGGGACCCTAATGTGGTGTAATCCGTGATAATCCTATAAAGGTGTTGGTACCCCTTTAGGGATTATAGGTGTCCTACTGAGAGACATTTTGTTTAGGATTCAAAAGATGAATTATTTGGTAACATTCCATTAGGCCTATAATATAATGAGCATTTGAATGTAAGATCCGTCCATAGGACAATACGCCTATTGTAGCGAAAAACTGAGGCGTTTAAATTGATTGCAAGAATGAAAATAGCTAGCCAAAGTGTTTATGCAGCACTTAGGCCTACTTGTTTTGAACATGCTGATTTGTCGGGTACCATTCTTGTTAGATGTAATGGAGAAAACGGTCTCTTCCTGGTAGCCTATAAACTGAATTACATTTGCGTCGTCGTTCATAGCATTACATTTTTTTTACAACGCATTATTTTCGTTGCATTGCTGTGGACTGAAATGCAATATTCCACTTAGTGTATGTTAAGGATGCTACCTCAGGAAAATAATTTATTATCTGTAGTTTCATTGTATCTGAATTGAATTCAAAAATTATTGTGTGTGTGTGTGTGTGTGTGTGTGACTGAATAACTTATTTTATAAATAGATATGTAGTAGATCATGTGACAGCATAATGATAGATAGATAGATAGATAGATAGATAGATAGATAGATAGACAGAATGACTGATAGATGACAGATAGTTTGATAGGCTCATAAGTTTAAAGAAAGCTAATAATTCCATTTTAAAACATGTAAACTCAAAATAAATCATTTTAAAATAACACCAATCAAAATAAAACCCTTACTAAAAAAGATTCAATGTAATCATTTAGTAAATAAAAAAAGTAGCTGTAGTCTGATTAGGAGTATTTAAAAATGTAATTTGATCTAATTACAAGTACTTCGGTAACACTTTACTTTAAGGTGTCCTTGTTACACGTTACATGTACATAATTACATGTAACCCTAAACTGAACTCTAATCCTTACCCTAACCATATAGTGTGTTGATTGTAGTTATGTAGTTAATTAATATTACTCAGTATTTAAATGCACTGTAACATTATATAGCTAATTACACTGTGACAAGGACACCTTAAAATAAAGTAACCATATTTGGAATCTGATAACGTAACGTAATCCAAATTACTTGTAATCTGTTACAGCACTGATAGATAGATAGATAGATAGATAGTTGTTTTATAAATAGATATTTGAATTAGTAGCTAATGTGGCAGCATAATTAACTTTGTGGGCTGTTATTATCTTTGCTTCATTTGAACACAGTTTGCAAGCAGATGATATTCCCAAACTCCTAACATAACCACCCATATACACACACACACACACACTCGCACACAGAGTGAACGGCAAGCGTCTCTCTCTACAGATGCTCATCCAAGCGTTACCATATAAACTTCCAATAAAACGGAGCCGCGTGATGACCTTTACCGTAATTCATCACGGAGCGCGCCGGTGACAGAGGGGGGCCCTTCACAGACCGATAATTTGATTACCACAACATCTGTAACATCAATAATGTCCGATGAGATTGTTTTGCGCAACCAAACATGCCGAGGCCATAAAAGAGAGAGAGGGAGAGAGAAGGTGTCATCATCTCTTTGACATTTTACTTGCATTTCTGATTAGGTGAGCGCGCAAGATTAGAGAATATCCACGTGGCCACGTCAGGACGTTTGACGATGACTGCCATATGCCGCATTGGCCAAGCGTCATCATACTTTGCCAAGTATTGCATATCCCAGTTCTTTAATGCCATGTGTGATTAAATGGAGTTGGTTTGACTGAGGCGAGCTTAAACTGACACTGTCGTGCCCCTGATTACCCTAAATCACTTTTCATGCTCTTGAATTTGTCTCACCTGCTTTATAATGAGTTTAAATCGTAGGTGAGACACGCAGTCCGTCTGCGCGGGTTTAAAACGCGTGGGAAACACTTAGAACTGGATATAAATGTTTTGCCTAACCAGAGGAAGCACTGCGTTCACAATCCAATCGCGTGATCCATTAAGCTCATTTATTAAACGCAATTTGCCTTGTGTCATTGGCTTGAGTAACGCCTCGGAGTTGAGAATGGTAAGACACACACTGGACCACCGGGCGGGACAGCGGGGAAACACGGATCTGACACGTGGAATTAGGAGGCAATTAAGAGAAGGTGGTTCCCGGGTAAACGGTGGACACCTATGGACAGCGCTGGGCGAGTGTAATGTCAGCTTAATTGCTATATTCTGATCGCTCTTTAATGGCGCTATCACCTGCTGAAGCCTCGAACGCTGTGCGGAAGCACTTGATGGGTGTTCTGGTCAATGTGGTGACCAGTTAAAAAGTTGAACTAGGCCTATAAGGTTTTGCTTCAAAAGATCTGTCCATGTCGGTATTTCATCATTTGTATGCGTACTATTATCTACGATTTCTTTTTGTAAATAAAAAAAACTTGAAAAATATATTTTTGTAATGATTTACCCAGCTAACAAAAACATAAGAACGTTTTGCTGAAGTTATGAAAACTTTTATTTCCTTCTGAATGTCAATTAAATGTTTTAAAAATGTTTGTACTTTGTTTAGTGGTAAGATAAGAAATGATTAAATATTCAATTCTATAATTTTGTCAACATTGCAGGAGCATTAGCTACTTTTGAATGTCCTCTAAACATTCTGAAACATTTAGTAACATTTAACAAATTTCAGACAAACATCCAACTCGAACTTTTTTTTTAAAATAAGCATTCTATGAATGATGTATAAATACTAATCTTTTGTGGTAACGTTTTGAGAACATTATTAAAGACTTTGAACAAAAGTCCTGTTACAGGAAGAATGTTTTGTTCATAACTTTTAAGAGGACCTTCAGAGAACGTTTTGAGAATGTTTCAGCTGGGTAGGTAAAAACAGCCACTGTAAAACCACACTATAAAACATTCACTAGGAGAGAGAGAAAAAAAATCAACTATACAATAAAGGCATATAAAAAAACTGAACTGTGTTCTTAGAATACGTTTTAAATGTTGTAATTTTATGCATTTAATAATTCCAGTATATGTTGGGCAAAACACTTATTTCATATTTTTGTTACTCTCTATCTTTGCTGTCTCATTAATCATTTTGAGCTTAAAACTTCCATTTAAAATGAGTCTATTTAAAGACATTGACAACTTCTCCATAGTGGGACAACATTAACTGCAAAGTGTTTAATGAACAGTATCTTTTTCTTCTCCAGAGCAACGATGGTGGAAATGTTTAGTAGACTCTAATGTATGTATCTATACATACATTGACATCAAAAATAAAACCAGCCTGAGAAATATTTACTGGAGTAAAGGGTGTGACAACTAGCCCCGGTCTCCCCTACTATATGCAGGCTTTTTCTCCTCCAATGTTCTCCACACATAAATAGCCCAAATGCATGCAAAGTCATGCATTTGCATGTTTTGCATGCCTGTTCCAGCAGGGCTGGAGCAGAAGGTTGGTGGTGTGCGGGGCTTGCGAGGTTTTGCCGGTCTGCATGACGCCGTTCCCATGCGCAGAGATGCATGATCAGTTGTGGTTTGTGTTAACTACGTACACGTTTTTGTGTACCACTTCAAATCATCTTTGTTTGTGTTTTGCAATCCCCCATTTGTTCTAGTTTGTGATGGCTGTTTTCTTGCCCCTGGTTTTCACTAGGCATATTTAAGGCCAGGCGCACGCAGGCAGCAGAGGCACTATGTTCAAGGTTGAGTTACTTTTGGGGCTTTTTTGTGTGAGCTATTTGTCTCAGCAGTCAGTACTGTTAATGTTACATTAGGTGTTTGATGTTTCATCATTTCAACCAATATTGCGTGAGATAACGAATGTAAAATGAAACCGCTAGGAACACGTTTGAATTCCCTCAGAAGGTGCGGGGAAAAATTCCACGCGCCATGCCTATTAGCCTGGGTAATTTATTTTGTGTATGTCAGAAAACAAGAAGGCCAGAAAAAGAATATGGGGCTTTCTTTTCCATTACCAAACATTACAATCTTATTTCCATCACTGCACCGTTAAGTAATTTGCGAAAAGCCAACAGAGTCTGGCGCGCCAGGCGCGTGGCGTGTGTTTAAACCCATTACTTTACCTTTTAATCAAACCTTGCGCTCGTGTCAAAATGTGCCGTTTTCGCCATGCATCTCTCTGAGCTCGTTCCAGTTCACCGGATGACCTTGAAAATGTTTGCTCTCCTAAACGTCGTCGTCTCTCTCTCTCTCTCTCTCTCTCTCTCTCTCTCTCTCTCTCTCATACACACACCATGCAATGTTTCCATTGTTATAATATCCTTGTTTCAATCCATTTCACTTTTTAAATTGTCACAGTAATTTCTCTCATTTCGACCTGATTATATGAGGTTTTCAGAATATCAACTTGATTTTCATCATCACAATTATATTCAAAGCGGTCAAAAAGTGTAAATAACTCATCACTGCAGGTTGTAACTGTTATCTTACCGATTTAAGGCAGCAATTTGAAGGTAGGCAAATGAACTGCTTTTTTGCTGCACACAACTGTGCATAGAGATGATAGGTCATTCAGTGAAAATGATATGTTTCCATATATATTGTCAGGTTTTGTACAGTAGGCTATTTGTGGAAAGTTATAAACGGTCTTTCTAATAAACACTTTTTAGTGTCACCTTTATGTATCTACTGAAAAAAAATGGCGTAGAAATGTTCAATTAGCCTATTGACAAAGAATCGGCAAGTAAACATTGTAAAGTAGAAAGACTGAAATAGTATTTAAAATAGTAGCCTTGGCTTTTTTTTAAACATTTGGCTAAATTAACTCTATTTGCATACAATTCTATTTACAATGATCTATTTTCACATATAAATACATATAGCATACATTTCAACCGCGTTTTCGATCATTTCAGTAACCGGAAGTCGCATTCACCTGAGGAAGTAAGTAACCTACAGAACGCCGCTTCAGCGCTTTTCGTTAGGATGCGTATATATCAATAAAACATGAATAACGTCGTTGTTTAACACACTATTACTTTTATATCACAGGTATATAAAACGATTTATATCACAAGTATTGTAGTTGATTGGCGCCAAATGGCCTACAGTTTGGTCGCGCGAGAATCTCGACCGAAAATACTGACAGGAATTTCTTTCTTAAAAAGTGGTTCTTCTGAGAGGTATTACGTTTTAACTTATCAAATGAATATACCGCAAAAGATTAAACACTTTAAAGATCGATTGACAACTCAAATTAATCATTAGGTGACTGCGCAGTCGAGAAAACGTACATGCACTCGCGCTTTTAGGATCAGCTGTATGATTTTTGGAAGACTTGTGTGTGTGTGTGTTTGAGTAGGTGGGGAGGGGACATGTTAGTTGCTTTCGGCTGTGATTTATCGCAGTCCCGGGGAACGCGGCTCCCGTTCCTGTCCTAACGCATTTCAGCGCGCGCATCAGCCGTGATTAAACACCTGCTATGGCGCGCGAACAAAGCGCGCTAATCCAATATGTATCTCTGACATCTTAAATATCGTCCAATCCCCCGGCATCACGCGCAGCTTTTCCGCAAGATGGAATTCTAAAACATATTTTTCTAATTTGTAGACGGACGATAAATCAAAATTAAGCCGTGGACAATGAAATATACATCAGCGTGCTGAGAACAGGCTTGAAATGCAGCTACAGGCTCTAGCGTGTGCATAGGTGTGTGGGGTTTGTAGTGGGGATTGTGGTCTTGCTTTATGAAACATCAGACATGCAGAAGCCAAATTCTGTCCCTGTACAAAATCTAGCATGCTGAAATACCACACTGCTATGCAGCGGTTAAGCACTTGCATTTTATCCATTGCATTTATAATAAGAATTATGAATAACCTTTGATGTAAAACACATTGTAGAAAAACAGTATTCCTCCAAATGCTGTCCCAACTAAAAGAGATATATGCACAAATCATTTCATAATGCTCGATATTTCTGTTTTGTTCAAGGTTTGCGAGTTCCCAGAATGCATTGCAGCATGAAGTATAATGTTACAGCGTTATTGTTTTACTTTATTTATGAAGTGTAGGCCTAGTTGTTTTTGCCATTACTATTAGTTATTGTGTGGTGATGCAAAAAGCGCATTTTTATGAATGATAGATTATCCTAATTGAAGATTGTGTGTTAAAAGATCAAAGATCTGGGTCTGTATGTATCTGTTGCACTTATTATCTTTGCTTAGATGCTTATGCTTTCTTGCAAAGATTGCACTGAAGAGTTTTTTTAACACGCTGAGAGTCATATAAACCTAAATCAGGAATGATCTAATGACAACTTAATTCATAATGCTCTAAACAGTACATCTGAATCTTGATTGAAGTCATTTCAATTTATTGCTTTAATAAGACATAGGCCTATAAGACAAAATGTAAATTGCCTAAACAAAGTGTTTCACTCATGAGAATGGAAACAAAACGGGAAACTTTTAAAATATATTATTTTTTGGTTTAACAGTATTTACAAAAGCAGTAACTGGAAGTTTGGCAAGTTGAGTAACTTTTTCTTTTCACTCAAGATAAATTTGCTCAAATCTTTTTACACACTATATGCAGACCTATAATTGTTTGGTGTCTTTTATCCTAGATCTTAAAATCTGCGTTTGCGTCACTAAACCTACATTCTTCTGCAAGGCATCTGACCTTTGTAAGGTATGAGGTGAGTTTATGCATTTTATATCAATCCTAATTTAATTTGCATACTCTTTTGTCGTTTAGATCATAGCAAGTGAGTCCTATATATGGTGCTGTTGTTTTCTTTGGTGCTAGATTGCTTGCTCTCAGACAGACATAAAGGAAAGCCATTCTCTCCGGTCACTGTCCCGGTGACGCTTATTATTTGTGACTCTTCAATTCCACAGTTTCCCTGAATTCTCAGCACATTCTGCCCAGTGTATTACGCGCCGTGAACTACTCGGACATCAGACGCATGTCTGTGGCCCTATAGCCACATAATGGATTCAGCACCCTGTTCTCATGTTTGGAAACAACCCAACATCAGTGGCCCTATGACCGCTGAAACAAAGAAAATATCTGACCATCGTATTGTCTGCCCTTACAGGCTTTTATTCCGGATTTCCATGCTGAACGAAGGCCAGGAGAAATGGCTCGGTGCAGAAATAATACTTCATCAGACTGACCTAGTTTGCAGGACCGCGGGTGCTTGCAAAGGATAATTGTTTGTAATCATCTTAATTAATATAATAATCATCTAATTTTATACCTCTTAATGAAAATTAAGTGCATTTTGATGCATAAGTTGTAATCAGCAGGCCAAGTAATTCATCTAATGATTTGTAACGGTGTTTATTCAAATAAGCAAACAATTTAATGCATTAATTTATACAGATTAAAACTTTGCAGGCTCAAACAGGGCGGTGGAGGTAGACCTGCAAGGCTCTTTTACATTTCAACACCTTCAAACAGTCTTTAAACCTGTATAGAAAACAAAAGGTTGTAAATATTACAGTAAATATGATGGGTCAATGACAAACAAAGATGCCTGATATAATAAAAAATGAGCAGTCTAGTTTAAAATGCATCTCTGTTCCAAAATAAAAATGGTTAAACTGGTGAAAATGTGTTCTCTAAGAGCATCATTTGTCTAACTTTAATTTAATGACCAGTGACAATCTCAGTAACTCACAATATTGACCTGCATATCATGTGGCATAATGTAGGCCACAGAGTGTAGATGAAAACAAGTCCAGAATTAATCAAATATAAATAGGTTATGAAGACTTAGTTATGATTTCATGCCTGTGCAACTAAAATGCGGAAGACTGATAGGGTTTTTTTTTATGAATTCATATTATTTTTATAGTGGGCTCATTGGAAGAATGCTGTCATATGTATGTTTTGTAACCACAGCATTTTCTTTGTGATATTCAGAAAGAAAATGAATTAAGAGCTGTTTCTTGTATTCCTGCAGACATGTTTAATTTTAGGATGTTTAATGTCACATTTCTATTGTCTTTTGCTTTCAGATCTTCTGTGAATCGTTTCCATCAATGCATCAGTCAATCAATCTTCACCAACACCACACGCCATCAGCAACTCCATTTTGTTGTTTCTTCTAATGGAAGCGGCTCTCCATGAGAGTTCTGATGAGTTCGAGTGATGAACGAGGACACAGTTTGGTGAGAGTAAGTGAAAATCACACTCTCTTCCTCCACTCAGCGACTTTTATGTAAAACAGTGCAATTAAACAATGTCCTGAAAATGAATGTATGCTGGAAACATGAGGCTCATTTGGCTGATGAATGGCCGCACTTTGGATCAAACGCGATTTTAGTTGAGTGTGCGTTTAATACTGCTCTCATTGAAGTATTTCAAACTGAATTTCATGTATTTATTTATTTTTAGCTTTATTTATTTTTTAATTTTTTAATATTTTATTAGCTTTGTTGTTGTTTTTATGTGTCATTAAAACTTGCATTTTTTCCTCCCAAAAAATGGTTTAGCAGTTTTCACTGCTTAGGCTGGTCTGTTTTGTTGGTTTAAGAGGGGGTTTGAGCAATTCTCAGCTGGTCAGGCAGGAACACCATCTGTTAGAGCTGTTTGACCAGGCTGAAAGACCAGCTAAACCACTTTAGACAGGTTTAAGCTGTTCTTGTTTTTTTTGTTTTCCAGAAGGGTTTATTATTATTGTCATTAACTTTAGTAGTAGTAGTAGGCCTACTGTTGTTGTTCCTGATGTACTTTATTGCAGAAGTGTTTACAGCAGTTGAGTTGTTCTATATCATGGCCATTTAGTTGCTTTTTCGTGAGTGAGAGCGGGCGAGGGAATTTTCATTCCAGCTTTTGCCTCTGTTCGGCCCCTGAAACAGGGGGATGTGATCAATCTGCCGCCTATTAAGGCCGTTAATTGATAATGCATACTAATTAGGCAGAGCTTTGGTACTTTAGAGACTTTGAGGAGGTAATTGTCGGCACAAGTCCAAATGTAGTTTAAAAAGCAGTCTGCACGAGGTGAAAAATTTCACTCTGCTGGCGGCGTGAGGGGCCTGTAATGAACTGCTTTCATAAACATGTTCCAGTGCACACGTACCAGTAAAAGGTTTGGGGTCAGTAAGATTGTTTTTGGAAAGAAATTAATACTTTTATTCAGTAAGGACGCATGAATTTGATGCAAAGTGACAGAAAATACATTTATAATGTTACAAAAGATTTCTATTTAATTAAATGATGTACTTTTGGATTTTCTATTCATCAAAGAATCTTGAAAAAATTAAGGAAAAAAAACGTATTTTCCCACAAAAATATAAAGCAGCACAACTGTTTTCAACATTTTGAGCATCAAATCAGGATATTAGAATGATTTCTGAAGAATCATGTAACACTGAAGACTGGCGTAATGATGCTGGAAATTCAGCTTTGCTTCACAGAAATAAATTGCATCTTAAAACATATTGAAATAGAAAACAGTTATTTTAAATTGTAATAATATTTCACAATACTACTCCTTTTTACTGTATTTTTTTATCAAATAAATACAGCCTTGGTGAGCATATTCCTTCAAAATCATTTAAAAAATCTTACAACTCCAAACTTTTGAATGGTTAGCAGAAAATAATTTTGTAACTTTATACACCATATGATAACTATTTAGCAATTTTAATCAACAATGGCTAAAGCTAAAACCATTGAAGTACCTTTATTTTGAAGAGTGATGATAGGACATTACAATTTTGTTCCAAATTCAAAGCAAATAATGTTTGGAGCAGGTTAGCTACGTCAAACGCAGATGAAGCGTCCTTGCATGAAGGTTGTTTGCATGTTGCATTCCAAAGGCAGGCCCACACAAACTTCTCTTCTGTCAATGTGTGCATGGTCATCTTGAGTGAGACGCATTTAACTTCACTTGATGCAACATCAAGCAGCCCTTGACAAGCATGCATCAAAGCACGCAGCTCTAATTAAACTAGATCAACATGTGAGAATATTTGTTCCTTTTCAGTGTCAAAATCAAGACCCTTTGAACCGTCAATCTCCCGCGCAAATGAGCGTGTCTGTCTGCCGTGTATAGAGGCTGGGTGTGATGTTGTCAAAAGCCGTTGCCATGGCGGTTTGTTGTGGTGCTCGACCCGAATTTGTTCCCCTTTGCTCCGCGCGTCCCTCACAAGTGAAGCCTGTGGCGCGTGTCTGAAGGTTGTCACATGCTGTTTTCTGTCCGAACGGTTCATGGACATCCTTTAAAACGAGTGGCAGTATTAATATTTATTCAAAACTTCAAAACTAATTCTTTGTAGTGAGAGATTTGCAATCAAAAAAGCTTGCATACACTGCAAAAGTGCAAATAATTACTTTTTGAAGATTACTGGAGGACGTTTTACAAGAAAATACAATTTCAGTCTTTCTATTTCAAAATTTCACAGTTCTTTCAGTGTTAGTTGCTGTTTCTTTGTACCAAATTGTAAAATGTACTAGCAGTTTCTGAGTACAAATGCAGGTCTGAGATTTATGCATGATGAGATTTATGAGAGATTGAGCAAATCAAATTAAATGACAAGGTTGAAATAAATATAGCCGGGTCACGGCACCACCAAGGCCTGTTGTAATATTCCTTGTGGTCATAAAATGCATTTAACTCATTGTTTATCCTCACATACAGTTTTTTTTCCTTGAAAATGTGTGAATCTGTTTATATAGCCTAGCCTCTCTCTGTCTCTCTCCTTCCCTGTCTACCTTGTTTTTTTGTGGATTTGTTTGTTTCCCGCTTTTCTCGAGGGGTGCGTGAAGACAGACAAGCTTGCCAGATTCATTTTCTGATCAAAGCTGTTTGATTTGGTCAATTTTGCCACATTGGAGACGTTCTCTATTACTGAGATAAATAGGCCCGGGCTAACTGTCAACCAAAACTTGTAAGCTAATAAATTATTCCAATTTCTCCCCGCCGGATTTCTCCTGGGAGACAGCCTCTAGGAAATACACTTTTTGATTAGTAAATTTCTGTGTGTGTGTGTGTCTGGACATTTGGATGTGTCGTCTTTGATTAGCGGCGGCCCTGTTAGAGCCGAGGGCGGCAGAGGGGCTGTCAGTCGAGCGCAGACTCTAATGCATAATGCATTGACACAACCGGCTTTCTGCCACCTCCCTCTCCCAGAGCGAATGCCGGCGGACCTGGTTCCCCTCACCTGAGAGCCCCCTCTCTCTATCTTTCTCTCTCGTTGTCCCTTTCTTGGCTAACCGGCTCAGGAAATAAAGCATCGTGACAGATCCTCACTTGCTGCAGACCTGTAGTTATGAGTGCCCGGCACACACACACACACACACACACACACACACACACTTGGAAGTTGGAAATGGGTTGACTTGAGCTGAAAGTGTGCAATCAGCAGAATAGGGTAGAGCTGTTTGACTGATAGGCTGTTGGGAAATTGATCTCCACCCACTGGCCCAATAACCCCCCACCTGCCCTCTCTCTCTTTTTTCTACACTTCTCTTCTTCTTTTCTCTTTTACCTCTTTTTGCAGGTGCCAGCACTCAATCTGAAGTCATTCTGTGCATTCCTGACAGAAAAATGCTGGTTCTGGCTCTGCATTGAACCCGCTAACTTGTTTTTTTTAACCCAGTGTCCTCACCAAATACAGTTTTCAAAACTAAATGCAAATGAAAATAGATGATACAAAACATTTTTTTGACTGTCAACACATCAAGTGTCCAAGGCAGCATGCCTTTAGTTGCCATCCAGCCTGTTTCTTTAATTTAGCTTTGAATTTATTTACAAATAGCACACGTATTATATGACTTTTAAATATGTAAAAAAAAAATTGTGTAAATTATTTAAATATACAGCATGTGCATATAAATATGCAAATGTACAAACCCCTAAAGGTACAGGTTTTCAATTTTGTTTCTATTTATAATATATGATGCAGTATATTATAAAATAAATGATTTGTTATATGATAAATTATGTGCTATGTTTGTTTTTGGTCAGGTCATGGAGTACAGTAGTCAGTTCCTTCATCACTTGGATCTCAAGTCAAAGGAAAGTGGGCCAGTTTTGAGAGAGGTTTGCGGTCACTCGCATAATTTTTTTAGTGGAAAACTGGTAAATCTCACTTTTTTATTTCCCTTCCCATATCCTCTATTTCACTTGTCCTTTTATAATATTTGCTCTTTGTTGACCCCTGTTCCCTTTTTCCACCCCTCTATATCCCCCCTCCGCCTCCTTTTTGTGTCTTTCCATGTGCTGTGACTCAATAACTCCCAGCATGCAATTTGAGCGCGCACACACACATGAACGGAGGAGTACAGAACAAACACATCTCCTGGATCCTGAGCACCAAAAACTACACTCATCATTTATCAGCTAGCTAAATGCTTGCCCAAACCATTACCCTCCCCAAAGCAGCCAGCAGGACGGGAGAGGAGCGAGGCGCTGCGCTGGGTGAATTAAACTTTTGAGGGTTCAGCTCTTTCCCACTTTGGCAATTCATCTTTCCTCTCACCCAGGAAGTGCACACCCAGCAGGAGAGTGAGGTAATTACATCTCCACATGACACAGCGCTTCATTACTGCTTGTGTGTCTTGCTCACCTCCGCTGCTGTAGTTTAGAGATGGGGTACGGAGATGGAGGCTGATTTATTTATTTTTTTAGTTAAACAGTAATGGCTGACTACACACAGCCTCTCGGTTGGTGAGGGTAATTTTTATGTACCACTGCGTTAACTGCTGGAGTGGTCTGAAGGAAATTTGATGAACAAAGTACTAACAGGCCCATGTTGTGTCTGTGGAGGATAAAATTATGACTAATTTTGTGACTTTTTAAATGATGTTTTATGTGTCAGTTATGGTATAATGGCTTTCTACAAAGATAATCTATTTAAAATTATTCTATACACTATAGAAAGGCTTGTTTATTTTATACAAGGATATTATTACAGTATTTTTAATGGTTTTGCTCACCAAAGCTTCATTAATTTCATTAAAAATACAGTAAAAACATTAAATATTGTTACAATTTAAAATAACTGTTTTCTATTTGAATATATTTTAAAATATAATTTATTCCTGTGATCCAAAGCTGAATTTTCCAGTCTTTAGTGTCACATGATCATCCAGAAATCATTCTAATATGCTGATTTGCTGCTCAAGAAACATTTTTTTTTATTATGATCAGTGTTGAAAACAGTTTTATTGTTTCTGTTTAAACTGATAGTTTTCTTTTTGTTGGGATTATCTGATGACTATAAAGTTGAACACCATTTATTTGAAATATTGATTATTATTATTTGAAATCTTTTGTAACTATTATACATTAATAATATACTATTATATATAATATATTATTTATAATATTTATAAATGTATTTACTGTGACTTTTTTTTCTAAACATTTTTTTATTAATTAATGAAAATGCATCCTTGCTGAATAAGTATTTATAAAAACAGAAGTGTATAGATATGAATCTATGGAATATTGTATGTGTATATAAATATACTCTCTCTGTGTGGACCTGCATATCATGCATGTGTATATATATATATATATATATATATATACAGTGGGTATGGAAAGTATTCAGACCCCCTTAAATTTTTCACTCTTTGTTATATTGCAGCCATTTGCTAAAATCATTTAAGTTAATTTTTTTTCCTCATTAATGTACACACAGCACCCCATATTGACAGAAAAACACAGAATTGTTGACATTTTTGCAGATTTATTAAAAAAGAAAAACTGAAATATCACATGGTCCTAAGTATTCAGACCCTTTGCTCAGTATTTAGTAGAAGCACCCTTTTGATCGAATACAGCCATGAGAGTGAAAAATTTAAGGGGGTCTGAATACTTTCTGTACCCACTGTATATATAGTTGAATATATTTATACATACAGTATTCTCTACATTAGTGATGATATTGATGAAATATGGTATAATATGCAAAATATCAGCTACACTCTTAAAAATAAAGGTGCTTCAAAAGGTTCTTCAAGCGATGCCATAGAAGAACCATTTTTGGTTCCACAAAAAATCATTCAGTCAAAGGTTCTTTAAAGAACCATCTCTTACATTTTTGTAATCTGAAGAACCTTATTTCACCACAAAGAAACTTTTGTGAAACAGAAAGGTTCTTCAGATGTTAAAGGTTCTTTATGGAACCATTTAGACAAAAAGGTTCTTCTATGGCATCGTGAAGCACCTTTATTTTTAAGAGTGTATATACAGTAGTGTGTGTATATAAAATAAATAGTACGTATTTGTTATAGGGCAGTGATTCTCATCTGGTGTGTCTTGACCCAAAAACCAAAAATGGCACTTTATTTACTAGAATATACTAAGTAACTACAGAACATATGAAGTACATTAAACCATCAGTAGATAGTAGCTGTAAAGAGTAGATTAGCTTGATGAATTCATCAGAATTCCAGCACGACTCATTAGACGTCCCGAGACCAACAACAGAACGAGGTCTTAAATTTATAACTCAGTTCTCTGACTCCTTCTGTAGAAATCAAATCAAACTAGAAAAGTAGCAACTGACCGATTACATCTGACAGCCTGTCTCTAGGTGTGAGGTGTTTTAAAGACTCTCATGCTCTTTCTGTGGTCAGACAGATGCGCACTCGTTCAATAGTCATTTTGATTCCAGTGATTTAGCTAATTATTCTGTATCAGCTCAAGTCATCGATCCCACCCCTCTCCCGCTGTCAGCCACTCCTGGGGGTCAGAGAGTGATTGACAGCCATGTGAACCAGCAGGTGTCTGCAAAATGGTCATTTGTTTGTGCCAGTTTATGGCCACTTGTTTTGCAACTTTTTTAAAGCAAATATATGCTTACATGTAAGTGTTATTGTCACAATAACATTTTCTTAGTTACTAAGATTATCAGTCGCATCCATGCTCCTATTTGCATAAAATATAGTGAGTAGTACTCACACTCAGGCCATATAAGATGTAGATAAGTTTGTCTCTTCATCAGAACAGATTTGGAGAAATGTAGCATTACATCACTTTCTCACCAGTGGATCCTCTGCAGTAAATGGGTGCCGTCAGAATGACAGTCCAAACAGCTGATAAAAACATCACAATAATCCACAAGTCATTCCAGCAGTGTGAGTCTGAGATTCTTGGGGGTGTTTTGCTGTTCATTAGATGTACGTTTTAAGTTTGATTGCATTAAGTAACAGCACACTTTTACAGTATGGAAGCCTTTTCCACTTCAGAGTTTAAAAATAAATCATAATTGTGAGATTAAAGAATTTTAATAAGAAATAAAGCTGTACTTGTGATATATATATGGAGATAGAATTGTTGCTTAATTCCAAATAAATAGATTATGATCCACAAATAAATAGAATGAGATCCACAAATAAATCTTAAAGTTTCACAAACATGAATTAAATTCACAAATAAATCAAATGAGATTTGCAAATAAAAATCATACTCACAAATATATATTTATGTCACAACCACAACTTTGCCTGGCATTTATTTGTGAATCGCGTCCTGTGCATTTGTAGATAGCTGCACGCATTTGTGAAACACGTTCTGTGCATTTGCGAATTGTGAAACATTTCTTGCGTCAAGACGTGCTGACAATCCAGAAATACGTGGACTCCACCCACCGTCTACTGAAGCCAATCAGATAACAGCCACATTCGCTGACCAATCGTAGCACGATCTCGCTATAGCCAATCACGTTTTGCTTTACAATCAGGGCGGTCTCGTCCTGAGATAACTTCATTCATCTGCATTGACTCAAATAGGTCATATAAGGGCCATACAATGGGTACAGTAAAAGATGTTTAAAACTGGATTTCGTTAGACCATTAGACTGTGTATCATGCCAAGCCACAGTATTATGTTACGTGCCTTTGAAAATGCCAGAGAAAGCTTTAAATCACGGCTATATGGGAACAACGCTATACTGGATTCAAACGCGATATGGAAGCGTCATGTTATTCAATATGGAAATAAAAGTGTCAATAAGTAACTGACTAATAAATAACTGAACTCAACCTCATAATAAACATTTGTTTGTGTAATAGGTTAAATTGCCGTCACACAACAGCCAACAGCATTTCCCAGTTTTTCAGTCAAGTCGATGTATATGAGCTGCTCTGTGGATCTAACGATGTATGAAGTTTTTGATATTCTGTGGTGGTCACAGCAGTAATAGAAATTAATCTACCAATAAGCTTAAATGTATATATATTTTACATTTTAAAAGCATTTTTACATTTATAAAGCCATTTTTTCTTAAAATGTGCCTCATCTTTTTGAGTCAAATTATTGCATATAATTTATCAATTAGAATAATGAGACATTTGGGCTGTTACCAAACAAATGGTATAAATATCAACGAAATTAATCTTTACAATGCAGAGGAAACAAGTTGCATCTGAAGTGACATTTAGATGTCACACTGTTTAATGCAGCTCAGAGTGTGTGGTGATGTGGTGAAGTATGTGAGCATGAAAATTTGGGATTCAAGAAGAGAAATGTTCCTTTGTGATAATTAACATTTAGTCTGAAAGAACTATGGAAGGTGTAAAATAATTGTCATATTTAAATGTTTTAGTTTTTTTCAATTTGTACAATATACGAATATATTACATGCAATATTCCATTAAAATGAGAAAAATTTCAATCTTTTACTCCTACACATCACTTTCAGTCTTACCTCAAATTACCTTCAATCAAAATATAATTTCGCTAAGAATCAAGAGCAAACGTGTCTGTGGTGATGTGGTGAAGTATGTGAGCATGAAAATTTGGGATTCAAGAAGAGAAATGTTCCTTTGTGATAATTAACATTTAGTCTGAAAGAACTATGGAAGGTGTAAAATAATTGTCATATTTAAATGTTTTAGTTTTTTTCAATTTGTACAATATACGAATATATTACATGCAATATACATGCAATAAAGCATGATTATCACACGTCTTTCAGTCTATAATCTGTGTGACTCATTTACTTCTGTAATGTGATGTATTTCAGAGCATATTCAATGAAAAAATGTTGGAGGCTAAAGGTCAAGCTCAGCCTGCAATGCCCCCCCAGATTCTCCTTGTGCCCCCCCAAAAATGTCCAGCCAAAAAAATAAAAT